CAGGGCACTAGATTGCGCTCCCCGCAACTGCTGAATCCAGTCTTTGCACGACCATGTGCTCTGTTCGCTGTTATATCTGCTGGAAGCCTGCCTGCTGCCAATACGTCAATGACAAATCCTGCGCTTGAAAGGCAATCGGGCCTCCTGCCCGCAGGCCTTCCTCCTCTGCAGCAACAAAGTGTTTGTGGATGTGATCATCATCGGTTTCCGCAGTTGCAGTGGGCAAGGCTGCAGGCTGGGCTTTATCCGCGCTTTGTCTTCGTTCGTGGCACACAGCCTTTTGCAGGGTTTTCCAGTCATGTGCTGTCAGCCTTACAGTTTATTCCATCATACTCCATCCATGGCAAGGTTCCGAGTGTCCCGAAACTGTTGCAGTGCCTCCATTTTGCTGAGTGGGCAAGTCACTTGTTTTGTTCGTCCAAAGCTTCGGGAACGTAGGACAGAATTTTCCGATCAGGAGACGGATGAATTTCTAGGCTAGATGTCTCACAACCCAGAAGCTTCAAGGACGGAGCCAACAGCAGTTCCGCGCAGTTCAGGGGTATCCCGGCTAAGTCACTTGCAGTGTCCCGTCCTGGACTTGAGGCGCGTTCTCTGTAAGCCAGGCAGCCAGCTTTTGCATCTTTTCAGTGGAGTTCTTCTCCTGCATCATGGAAATGCAAATCAAACAAGCGAGATGCGGGTTCTCCTTCCACTCTTCCAGCCCGACACGAATCTCGCTGTTGACTCTGATAGCTATCGACCCTGCCCTGCCACTGTGGGACCTTCGCCTCACGGAGAATCCACTGGCAATATGTGGGATCTCTGAGGACCAGTTCGGAGAGATCCAGCCCGCAGTGCTTGTGTCCTTGCAGATAAGCAGAAGCGCGCGTGCTGCAGGAGCTCATCTTTCCACATATAGTTCTAGGACCAAGAACTTGTCAACCAACACCCTGTAGAATCGAAAGAGACATTGAAAGACCCGTATAGCGCAGATGCATACCAAACCAACACAGGACGCCCAAAGTTTTGGACTCCCTTCCGAAGCCCAAACCTTCCAAACCCTGCGGGGAGCCTGCAATCCGCTGAGCGTGGCTCTGGTCCTCCTGACTTTGACTTCAGGCACAAAATACCGGAGTTTTCCTCAGTTACTGCTTCCAAACTTGGGAAAATACAATTCATACCTTGTCGCAAGGTGGTGCGGAGCACCTGCACGAATTTTGGGGGAGTACCCATTGCAAATCCTGCTGTAAGATCTGTAAGAACCTTCAAACAATAAAAGAAGTTCTCACATGTTTTCAAATAAGCCCTGCAAGATTCATGGCAAGCAGGTGCACAAAATAACAGCGATGATTCAGATCCGACACAACTGGCTTGTCCTGAAGCCTGTGCATGAGCCTGTTGCATGAACAGCGCTTAAATTGAATCAGGTGTCTTTCCCTCTAGGAACACTACACCAATATCAAAATCACATGCCAACTTTCAAGTGGGAGAATGTTCTTTGCCATGTGTCGCGCAATCGCAACCATCTCTCATCACATCTTTTGAAGAAAGCTACATAATCCGCCCAGCGTCGCTACTGCGAGGGGCATTCAAGCCTTGCTCTTCTGCTTCCCGGCATTTTCTACAACCCTCCCGCCTTTGGGTCAAGGTGTGGAGCATTCGCACGAAGCCAGGCAGCTGTCTGCTGCAGTCCGTGGGACGCATTGAAGTCCTCTCAGACTCTCAAACATCACAACCCTATGGCAGGCAAGGCCTCTGGGGGGAACCCCACTTTGCAGCCTTCCTTCTAGCTCCATCATCTTGTGTTTCCTGAGTACCGAACCCGATCCCAAAGCCTCTTGCTTCCAGATGGACCCAGCTAAGCCCCAGCGTGAAGAGCATACAGGCTTACAGTATCCTTTGGTTTCAAAGGGATGCGGCTTGGGTTGAATATTCGCATCTCACTTCTTTGTCACCTCTTCGCGAAAAAACCTGCCACATGTGACACAGCTGGCGATGCTTTCACACCAGCCCTGGAACACATGCCAAACATTGCAAGATGCTTGAGCTCTAGCTCAACATAAGACCATCCCTCCAGACTCTAAGCCCGACATTGCTAGCCCACCCTTCCCTTGCAAGCCTGAGCTTCGCTAAGAATCCATCGGCAGTATGCAGGGTCTTCGGCCAGCAGTTGAGACAGCGGTCTTCCATAGTGCTTTCTTCCTTGCACCCATTGCGGCTGCTGAAAAAGGGGGTTTGAAGTCTACAATAACTAATCTTGAGGAATCTCGTAAGTAAAAAATGTGCAGAAGTCTGCAGAAGCCCTAGTTCAGCACCGCACGGAAAGCAGCGAGCAGCGCAAGTCCAAAAAACAATGTGCACATAGGAGGTGAAACTCCGTGGAGCAGGCTGCATCGATGCCCGACACTCTCACCAGAAGACCTTTTGCTGATTGTGTTCGCTGGAAGCATGCTAGATGGGCAATTTGGCAGCTGGAACAGTGAACGATATAATCGATATTGGTCAACTGCTTCGACCAAACAGACTCTACTACTTCACCCCCAAACCCTTCCAATTTGTGACTGGTGTTCCGGGCCAGTGCGACAGCCCTGGCCCACGGCCGTTTCAGCCCATGCAAAGAACGAGATTCCAAACCAACACACCATACCGGAACCATCCGGCGCTGCTGCGTTCACTGCTCGCGAAGTCGCCACTGATGCTGAGGCCAAACACCGCTTGCCGAATCTGCGACTCCTGGGCAGCTGAAAGCTTGCACCGCGCAAGTGCGTATGCCGGAGGCGGGCCAAGTTTTGGGAGGGCATTTGGCCTGTAAATACCAGTGTTGCTGCCCCATGTTCTGCTGTCGGATTTGTCATTGTTTTAAGGTGGTCAGGCAGGCACAGCATGGCAAGGCGCCAGCACTCTGGCAGCCCAGCCAATCTCAAACGTATTCCATCTTGCAACCAGCTCTGGAAGATTCCCCACCCGCTATTTAAAATACGCTGAAATTCATGAAGCTTGGAGAAGGCAAGGCATGCACTTCTTCACCGGTGAAACTTACACCCTCAGGTAGCGAAGCACAAAGAACTTTGTAGAAGTGCTGCGCTGTCTCTGGGCACGTCTAATGTAACTCAAAAATGTGCCCGCACACACTGCCCCAAGCACGGGATCTAGGCCCTGTATCCGCCCAAACGACCACAATGCCCAACAAACTTCTGTGAACCCAAGCAAAGCGCGGGCAACATCACGAGCGGCACTTGCTCGAAAATGGCTACAGCACTGAGGCGACTGTGAAAAGATATGAGACTAAACACCAAAGCCCGCTAAAATTCTGAAATGTCATGGCAGAAGTCCATTCCAAAATCACAACATGCACGACAATCGTGAGGTAGGCTGCGCAAGCCTTGTTCCAAATGCAATTTGTACAGCGTACGGTATGTCTCCTGGAAACTGAGGTCCTGACAAGTCCGACAAGGTAAGGTTGCGCTTCAGGAAGGCAGCCACAGAGGACGCCATTTGACACCTGCGCCGAGCAGTGTGTTGGCATCTTCCAAAATACTTCGCAAGCCAGCCAGTCACACCAGCACTTGTGTTTTTGCGAACAGAATGCGTGGTTGCGTCTCCTTTCACCATGGGCAAGTGACGCGACAACATGCCAATCCTGATCAACCGCATGATCAGTCGGTCTGACCTGCTTCCCTACATTGGTGCTTTGTCCACATCCTGCAGAGTCGGCCCAGTACTCGAGCTGACTCCTTCCTGCTGCTATGCAAGTATGGAGTATCCCAAAAGTCCCAGCCATGCAAATGAAATGACCTGGACCGTGGTGGGCAAGCTGCACCTAGCAACTCGCAGGCCTATGTGGAGCTCCATAGATCATAGGGCCCCCTGTAAGTACGGGTCCTTGAGTTGAAGGGGGAGGTAATACGCCTGGCATGCTGAGAGATGACATTGGGATGACAGACATGTCAAAATTTGACCAGGCATTCCGTAGAAGATGTGCTGCTACTTGGCCTGCATAATCACATCTGAACGACCAGTTGCGAGGGTTGAGCATGAGGTAAATGAGCAGCTGGAAGAAAGGCAGTTCGCTCTCCCAAAGACCCGTGCCTCGTTCGATGGATGCTGCACCAACGCAGGCAGGCCGTTTGCAAAAATTTGGGGCCGAGGATTTAGGGTTGCCTGAGAGGCTTTAGCGTTTGGGGTTGAGGGTTTGGGGTTCGGTCCTGAGGCCAAGCGTTGCGTCTCGAAGTGCTGAGCATGTGCAAATTTACGCCGCCATGTATTCGTTGGTGAGTGTGCTGGTGATTGGACATGAACTAGGGCTTGTTTGGAAGTCGGCATCATCTGCAGCTACTGTGAACAAGCTGCATACGGCGGTAAACTGACCAAGACTATCCACCAGGCTATTGCTGTGCACGATGACGCCTTTGCAGAACGTTTCCGCGGTCCATTACATATGTGCTGCAGAAGCTGGCGGCAGACAGCATCAACACTGACCCGACGCACGTCCGGTCCGTAATTGCTCTGTGAGTACAGCATGCTGCCTGTCTTTCAGCATAAGACACAGACCATGTTGGATGCATCGCAATGCAACGCTCAACTTTTGCAGAAACTATGTGGGAATGATTAACAGGTGAGCCTGGAATCTCGCGCTATCCATATGGGCTGCATGTGGTTCAGGGTACCTGTGGTGAAGCCTGGGCAGCAGAAAGACGTCCGCGCCAACCGCAGAGGGTTTTACACGAGGGCAGTTACCCATGATAGAGGGAGGGATACATGCCATGAATAATTAAGTGTGTGCATTTATAAACATATATGTATACGTATATGTACATCGGGTTAAGAAGGGGTTGCGGGTAAAGCCAGAAACCACGGGCACGGTGTCACAATCGCCTTTTTTGTCCCCAGCTCCCCAGAATCATGTTGCGAGAATCATTTGCCCAAACAACGGCTCGACAACAGCATGCCCTGTGGCTCTGCCGCTGCTACCCCACCCAAGGGAATACCAAAGCTGGTACTTGCGCCTCCCTCAGATCTCACAAAGTCTTGCATTCCTTCTTCCCTGCATCACCTGCCAACAGTAACAATGTTGGTTAGGCGTAGGCACGGGTTTGGAAGGTTGTATTAAAAGCGGTCGGGGACCTCACATCGTGAGGTTATAACATCACGAAGTGTTCACCACATGTGATGGTTGCCGTTCGCGGAATTCATTCTGTTGCTGCAAAACCCACGCTCTGACCCTCTTGCAAAGGTCAGGCTCCAGCAGTCTAATACTGTAAAGCTGAAAAGAGATAGGAGCCCTCAAACTTTGTCAATACATGCCCCTACATGTCCAGCTTCTGGGCGCCAGCAAAACATCAAGGCAGGTGGCTCCAAGAGATTCTAAACAATGTGAACTGAATGGGGGTGTGTGATATCTAGAGCATGCTGGTACACCTGCAACACTGCGCCACAAGCATAGGCTCAACTACCATGCTAAAATCGTTTGCAGAATCCCTTAATACTGTAGGGCAACAATGAAGCGCCAGCACCGCACGTTTGTAATCAAAAACGATACCCTCTGGCCGTACAGCGCGGCTAAAATGCAGGCTCAGTAAAGTGATCTGTATGCAGCGACAGCTAAAGCTACACGCACAAATGACATGCTTGCCCCGAGGCCGCATCATGTGTCTTCTTGACTATGCACAGTTGAGCCCAATCCAAGCTTTGTATAACCCTTCTCACGATTAAGCGTGTCATACGAGCCTTTCCATGAGTTTGGTTTGATGCAGCTCTGGCGCTAAAGGAATGGAAGCCTTGGCACCTCGACAACAATACTCAAGGGAGGTGGCTGTCTTGCTCGGAAACTCTGGTCACCAGCATCCGTGAAGGGAAAAAGAATGTCTTGCAAAACGGTCATGGCAACTGCCTCCTGAGCGAGGCATCTGGCGCTGACGGTAGTAAGCTGCAAGGAGTTGAAAGTTCTTTGTGCCCAACTGCGCGCCTGTGTCAAGGGCGGGATCAACCGTTCAAGCTCTGCACATAACACACCTTCAAGAAATGGCGGGAGCTGCGTCCTCTTACGTGAATACTGTATACTTGTTACGCAAACGCTGATGCATCATCCTGATGCAGCTCACATCTGCCTTCCATGGCTGAAGCGTTCTTGATGCGCTGCTGGATCCACTCCACATATCCAGGGGCCTCCTGGAGGTCCAAAGTGCTGTCGCACTTCTGGTTAGCAGTGAATGAAGAAATGGTGGAAACTAACATGTTTTTGCGGCTTAAGTGCATAGGGGCTACTGTTGGGATCGACTGCTTCAAGCTGCTTTGGAAGATGCACTTTGATACTGTAAGACAGATTGGCACAATGAATGAGAGTGCAACAGAATGATGGCCGGACTGCAGCCATTGCATGGGCACGTGAGTAGAGTTTCGGACTGTGGCACCAGTCTTGCTGCTGGGATTGCTTATTCACAAAAGAAAGACTTGGATTATTGCCGTCATCAGAAATGGCAGTTCCACTGTTGCCTGCTCAGAGTGAAGCTTCAAAACCGCAAATTATAACAACCCACCCCAAGCTCTTGCTTTGCTTGTGGCGAACAATGTAACAAATGCAAAAGTGCCTGTACTCCGTGACTGTGAGCAAAAACGCCTGTCCTCCGTGACTGTCTGGAAGCTTCTCATCCGGAATTTGCCATTGCGGACTGTAAACATCCCGCCGTAGCGCTGTAAACACGCTTGTCCTATTTCAGCAAGGGCGGCCTCATCGTCCTGAGTGGCGGTACAAACTTCCGAAGAGGTGCATATGTGCAGGCGCACATTGCAAAGCTAGCTGGTGGTTGCTTATCATGCGACAGTGAGATGCACACTCAGCTTGCGCGGTTGTGGTGCACTCAGAGGCTGTGCCAACGCACACCGAGTCCTTGCTCTTGCCTACGTTGGCTATACATGCTAACTGATGTACCTGCAGCGCAGTCACCCTGTTCACGTCCACCAATTCATTAGCATTGCCTCGAAGCCAATCCTTTGCTGATATGCGATCAACTGAGAGCTATGCTTAATTACACCTTGGGTATTACGGATGGTGTGACAACATGGGAGCAACGCCAAAACGGCCAAAAAGACCAACACCGGTTCTCGTCAGCTTAGAGGCAGCAGCGTCCGCGAATCCTCGCAACTGCCACTGCGCCTGGCATCTACACACCGACGGCTCTGGGCAACAGAGCCCAAACAAGTGAGCAGAAGGCCGGCTCGTTCTGGTTGAGTACAAAAAGGCACCAATGCGGGTCCTCTGGCACCGTGTGTTGGACAAGTCCCCCTTGCAAATATGCGATGGATTGCTCTCATCATATCTCATCATCCGGTTGTGGAAAGATGTGCGGAAGAGTCCGTGTGTTCACAAATGCACCAATTGCTCCACAGCAGTTCCCTAGGTAACCAAATAGACCAACGTAGGTAGTATTTACAGACTTTGAGCATTATTGTATACTTGGATCCCAGGGGTTGGAAGCAATTGGGACAGCCCAGCGCGTTGTCATAAGTACTTGGGCCGTAAAAATAATAATAGTAGGAGGAATAGTCATGATACCTGCTGGTAATAGTACTAGTAATAGAGTAATACAGATCGGAATAGTAATAGTAATAGTAATATCCTCATGAGTGAAATGAATTCCCGGCTCCTCTGCTACGACCTGCGGAAGAGGAATTCCTCTGTGCCTGCCCCGGACGTTGACGACAGGGATCTCCTGCAGTAAGCTAGCGTGCAGATGTAAACACCGCGCAGGAAAACTGATATCATGTATATATATATATACATATACACATATGACAGCATTGAATGACGACATCTATCTTATGTAATAAGTTGGTGGCTACCATAAATCACATATGAGAGTTATTAAATCGGGCTGCACATAGCTGCATGGTGCATGCGCTGATCATTCAGCGGTCCATCTAACGTCCAAGTTGTGATGCGCAGGTGCTTAAGCTTCGAACTACGTGAACCAGAAATCACTTGCGTGTAAACAAAGGCCAATCTGTCCTTCAAGTGCGATGCATTCTGTGTAAGCCAGGCAGCTTGGTCTCTGATCGCAGAACTCGCGTCTTCCTCCTGAAGAAGGCCGCCGAGGCTAGTTTGACCATGCACCCCATCAGATAACAGTTGTGTCAGGCTCACATGAGGAAAGTGTTTCCTGTCGACTGGATCCAAAATGCTACTCAAACAAAACCAGAGCGCCTTTGCTACTCGAAGAACCCACTGGCAATACGCCGGGTCTTCAGTCACCAGCTCTGATATGTGCCGTCCGCGGTAGTTGCCACCTGGGATGTTGATGCATAATTACAGCTGCACTCCCAGCTCTCTGTGCAGAACTAATGAAGTGCGGTTCAAGCCAGAGTAGGGCAAATGCTGAGCCACTAACACTTCTAATTACTCTTACTTCTACTTTCCGAACGGCCGGAACACACCGAGAGTTTCAAAACCTGTCAGACAATACTCCGAAGCATTTCCGAAGCTAAGCGTACCTCCCTGAAAGCCTGCTTGCAAGGCAAAAGGCAAATTCAATCCTTTCCTCAGCCTGTAAACCATGCACGTCAAACTTGCGAGCCCTTGCTCAAACCAGATCATCTACGCAGTCACTTCCCCGAAACAAACTAAAGCCACCCTAAACCGTATCGAATGATGCTTTTGGTAGTTCAAGCAGACTACTACTTCAAACTAGGCATGAATACTTGGAACCCACCAGGAAACATACTGTACCAAGAGGAATTCGGGGATCACATGGAAGCAGAAAGAACCTTCCTTAAATGAATAAATGAATATATATATATATATAAATTCGCTTATTCATTTACTTATCAATATCTATTTATATATTTATACATCTATGAGTATAATGGAAGGGGGAGGGGCGGGTGAGGCGCGGAAAACAGCTTACAGCTTTGAAACGTCCCTCTGTCGTCATGCAGCCACGCCTCCAACCCATGCTCCATCCTCGGCCTGCACTCAAAGGCAGGGAAGCCAAAGATTGCAGGGTGACTCTCGCAAGAAAATCACAGGCTGCTAAGCCCAACTCCCAACAGGTTCTCTTTCAGAACATGCACTCGAACGCAAACAGGAAGACTGGCGATGATATGCTCCAAGATGCTCATGCTAAAACTTTGCACAGAGCTCCTCTCAGCCTGCAAACTGCAGATGAAGAACCCCCCGCCAAGCTCGTCTGCTAAAACTCCCAACTGCTCTGAGGTCCTTGAGGTGTGGAGCATGCTTCGAGAGCCAGCCCGCTGCTTTCCGCAGACATCTTGAGGTGCGGCCGACCTCCCATACACAAGACACAGGTAGGCGCAAGCTGGGACGGCTGGCAAGGGCTGGAGATAGATCTTCCCCTTCTATGACGGACGTCGCGTGAGCTGCTGAATATATACGTTACATATATGTGTATATATATATATGTATAACAGAACAACTTTGTCAGCCAAAGAACTTTGGCAATGTCCAAGAGAAGCTTAATTGCAAAGAAGGAATCACAAGGCTGTTGGACTGGATCTAGCTGCTGACTCCTTGTCTTGAAGGGTCTCGGAGCCTCAGCCTCGCCTATCAGCCACCGGCAGTAGCTCGGATCCGCCACCACCACTTCGGAAAGGAGTCGTCCGTTGTGCCTTCCTCCTTGCATGCCCGCCGCAGAACACATGCCTGAACACACCACTAGTAACATGCCTGAACGAACTTGCCACAGCTTGCTCGGCCTTCGAGCACTGGCACTTCTGGCTGCTCCTCCAGGCTGTGATTCTAGATTTGATTTTGGAGCTCGACGGCGCCAATGTCTTTACTTGCATCAGGTGGGTCCCCGAACTGAGATTGGCATATGATCCATGCGGCCATACCATCAGCTTGGATTTGCCACAACTCCGTCTATCTGAGTCAGGGCTGAGAGTACAACGAGTTAACTGCCAATACTGCCGAAGAACCTGCGCCAAGTGGCCCAGCAACTGCTCTCCAGAGTAAATTACAGGTAAACAAACAGCGCCCAGCGCAGGCCTCTGTTCTGAGTAAAAAGCCGTCTAAAACAACCCCACTCTTTGCGCAGCAGCACATACCACAAAAAACAAGTCCTTGAGGTAAGGTGCATTCTGCTTCAGCCATCTGGCTTTCTCCCGAATGACGGGCAAGGCGGTTTCCTCCTTGTGGCATTGTAGGCTTGCAAGCTCCTGGTTCATACCCCTAGATAAAACGTATTGATCGGTAGGTTTTCTGGGAGATGCACGACTGCTTTGTATACATGAAGCTCGTGTTGCAAACAATCAGCCAACTGAAAAGCTGACATCCCACTATGATGCGCCGTAGCTGGAATATGTCTTCCCAAGTCAGCCAACTTCGCAGTAAAAACTCCATGAGTTCTTGCAGTCTCATCCAGGACAGCTTCAGCTAAACATCTGCTAAACCCATGTATCGCAAGACATGCCCTAGCCTCAGCATGTTGGAGAATCCAGCGGCAGTATGCTGGATCTTCTTTCACAAGCTCGGAAAGCAAGCGCCCACGATGCTTGCCACCTGAAAGAAAAATGGGATCTTCAGGAAATTGATGTCTCGAAACTGGAGGTCGTACTTTTGTATTGCCTCCTAAGAACAGCAGCACTTGCAAAGCAGCTTTCATCTACTGGCAGCTGGTGCAGGAGCGGGAAAGTGCCCAACAAGAGAATAGCTTTGCCCAGCACGTGATGCAGCTGGCCCGCCTTCCACGAACTCGCGAGGTTCCTCCCGGAGCCGTGCGCTTGAGAAATGTGATCGCTAGTTACCCACGCTGACATATGTTGCGCTGACTTGCCGGTAGGTGAAGATCTCTACCAAGCAGCGGGTGCATCGAAAGCCCTGGCTGCCAGTCTCTACGTGAAAGGTGAAGAACTAACATCTTGGCTGGAGCCTGCCTTGAGATGGGGGGCGTGTTGCAGAAGCCAGGCCACATCTTCTCGAAGCTCTGGTGGTGGATCTGCCTCCTGGATTTGCAGTGATGAAGCTGTAGGATTGGATGCCCGAGGCTAAAGAAAGACCCGTGCTGCATCTGGGAAAGCCAAGCTGGAATATTAGCATAGCAGATAGCGCGTGCTGGACAAATGCCCCTCCACGGCCGGCTCATTTCAAGGCACGGGCCTTCACACTTACTCACAATGTCTCTTCCAGTACATATAGCCAATAGTTATATTGCAAGCTTGCATAAACACAAATAAATATAAGTATATATATATATAACCATTGCATGTGTATATATATATATGCATGCTCTAGACGGGGCAAAATTTCTGGCTGAGTCCATAGATGATGATCCTCAAATCCCACTAGTTATCTAACCGTCCTCAGCCTTCTGGACCATCCACCGGCAGTACCCTGGATCTGCTGCCAGGACTTCGTTCATAGCGCGGCCGTAATGTTTCTTTCCTTGTTCAACCCGCAGAAATACAAATACGACTCAAGGAAAGGCAGGTCCATGTCCCTCCTGTAAGTGAGCTCATATGGCTGCACTGTCCATGATTCACCAGTTTGCTGCAACGATTGAGACAAGCGTCCAAACCAACACTCCATGCCAGAGGCTTGTGGCTGATCTGGTGCTGCCATCATGGCTGCAGAGCGCCTGCAGAGCTTTTGCCTGAGCTGACAGCTACAGCCTGATGTGTCATGACGGACCGCAAGGAATTCTCTCCTACAGCTGACGAGTTTCTGTTTCAGACGTCTGGTACCTTGCTTGTGCTCAAAGTGTCGCCAGCCGCACTGTCACTTTCATTTCCCTTGCGTGCAAGAATTGCTGCCGTCTTTTTGCTAGTGCTCGTGCCAGTCCATATATTCAATGCCTGCTCCTGCTCCTGCTGCTGCTGCTGAGGCTACCACTAGCACTACCAGGTCAATCAGCAACATCTGCCGGTGTCGCTGGCATCGCTGTAGACGCTGTTGCTATAGATGAAAGGTAAAGACGCCATCCACAAGCATCCAAGGCATCGCCCATGCATTCGCAAATCTTAGACAGTTTCAACCGTGCATAAAGAATCAGAGAAGCCACCGCGCTGTGAGCAGGGCGACATCGTTGTGGCCCGAACCCACCCGACGAAGAGTCCAAAGTGTTGTCCTGGTTTTAGACAAGCAAGACCAACACCTAGTTACACCCCATGCTCCCGGCTGGCTAAAAATGGTGTAGGGAGCGGGGCACTGCGGCATTTCAGGGCCATGAAAGCTTTTGTGCTAGGCAGGCATGTGTTGAAGCCGCCTTGAAGCAGGCCCGTTGCAGACTTCATCTCTGCCATGAACACAACAACTTAAGGATTCGGCGTGCTGTATGGGACACACCTGAGGCGTGCTACACTATCTGCCGGCATCAGGACCCTCAAGACTGCAGGTATGGGGCATGGTCCTCATTGGGCACCACATTTGCTGCCGTGAAGAAGCTTTGTCCGCAGGGCACGCTTTCCCCGAGCCACAACACGAAGATTGACATCAATGCTTGCCCACATTTCTGCTGCGGAAAACACCTGTTGCGCCTCACAGCCCATAAGCTTGATCCCGGGATGTTGCCCTACAAGCTGCAGCAGGCTGCCAGTTGCAACCTACAATCTCCAACTAGTACCCTTTCCAAGTCGCTTGAGCTGTGTCATAGGATTGCATGGAAAAGCTTATTGGGACAAACAGGCAAGCCGTCTTTTCATCCGCCATCATCCGCCCCAGGGCGTTCTCACCATTCCCCCAATTTAGTCAACGGCAAGCAGCATGCTGCACCGCTGAAGCACCCAGATACCCTATAGCTGGTCGTGAATCCTAGCCAGCGGCTGTGATTTAAGGGGCTTGAAGTATGCCCGCAAATAGGGGTGATACATGTCGACAGCCTTTTATTGTTGTAGTCCATAGTCGTCGCGACGCGGTGCCTGCTTTCACTTGTGTCAACCGCTGACCCGCCTCCCCTGCGGACTCCAATCTGAAAGCTAAGATCCCCGTGATTCACGTCCAGCCCTCTACGTGGAGAAAGTTGAGCTGCAACCGTCACTACCTGCTGGAACAGCTAGCTGGTGTTTCCTGTCTTTGACACCTATATATATTTAACTATCACAATCCATGCACTCAGGCTGTCAAGTGCTCAGCAGTCAATTGAGCTCGTGTCATGGCCAGGCCTGGCTTGGATTTTGATACGGGGGTTTCTCAAAATTGGGTGGGGCACTAAGGATCCGAAGGGATATGTCAAGCATCATGCCTGGATTATGGGTCTCTTAGGTTTTTTAGGGATTATTGCATGACATGTCCACACGTTGAGGAGATGCAGAAGCTTTGACAAAGTGCCCTTTAGTTGCACACGTTAGTTACTGCAGCGGTCCGAGGCTGGCTTGAAAGCATCTGCCACAAAATGGAAGTAGACGCGCAAAGCATAAGCCAGCGCCAGATGCTGCTTGTCCATGCGCTGTTCTTGAAGACTAACAAGTGCGCGCCTGAAGCAGGTGCGCCTTCCTTGCACAGGGCTGTCGTGGGCAAACACAGCAACATGTAACATGTTCAACATCAGGCTAGATTGCAAGTTTGCGGAATCTGCACCCGACCAGCGTTTGCATGAGTACAACCTCACGCTTCTTTTTTATGGCAACAGGTCCTAGCAGCTCAAGATAGTTCGATGCCTGTTCAACTGCAAGTCTTGTGGCAGGTACCCTAATATCGGGGCTCGAACTTCCCCATGCATAACTCCCAGACCCTTCCAAGGCCTCCGAAACGGCAGCGGCTATGGAGTTCCCTACATCCATGAAGTTAGAAAACACAGCCAGCACCCTAAACCCGAAACCCCCCAACTCTAAACCCCCAAACTCTGAACCCTCAAACTCTAAATCCTAAACCCTATATTATCCCCCTATAAGCCCTTTAAAGGCTCTGCAGCCCTCGGTCTCCTGTTGGCGCGCGAAGGCTGCCAGGAGATGGATGTTCCTACTCGCACCTCCGAAATTGAGCTGTAGTCGGGGGCTCATACAGGGGATTATATAGGGGAGTATTATAGGGCTGAATAAGGGGCTTACTAGGAATTGAAACTGTAGTTCCGAACTGCAGCATGCAAACAAAAACAAATCCGCTAAAGCGAGGAGTCGAACAAATGCAGGAAACTGCAGCAAACAAACAAGTGGTTTTCCTGATGTTGAGTTTGCAGTATACGTGCAGCTTGCTTAGGGGCTTAGCGCTCAATGTTTCTGCACGCAAGTCCTGGCAACCCATGCTTGGTGTCGTATGTGCTATGTCTAAACTCCTAGTATCCCTCTTAATACACCCTCTAGTGGTCCCCTATATAATCCCTTATATAACACCTTTTTAAGGAGTTTAGACTATGGCTCATATCCACTTGGCTACTTGCATTCTTTAGGCTTGCTGAAGCCGAGAAAAATGCACAAAACGTGTGCTTTGCACTTATGCATGCAAGGCACGACCATAATCGGACATACGCTTGGCCCAATTCACAAACTTCGGGGCCTCCTGCGTGAGCAACGACTGTATGCCAGCAGGCCCCGGTTCAAGTGCTTGGATGTGAGGAGCGTGGGTCAGGACTGACCATCACCCATAGCTCGAAGTGATGGAGGCTCTTTGTAACTAGGCTTCTCAGGCTGAGTTACTTACTAAGTCTTACTAACACTGCCTGGCAGGACGGGAGCCTTTAATGATGCCCCAATCCACTGAAGAATCAGCCTCAGCAGCCGCCTTCCTGTGGTGGTCGGCCTGTGAAGCGTGGCGCCCATGCCCCACTCCCCAACCAAGCCCTGCTCCATAGAAGTACGTGTGCCGCATGTCCTGGCTGTCACAACTGTCCGAGTGTTCGAAGTGCCCCATGTACGACTCCAAGTCCGCTGGATGCGCAAGCGTCCCCTCCCAGCTGACACCAGTTAACATAAAGGCCCCATCCCGATTGTCCGGATTGTCCGGAATGTTCCACGTGCAGCATCGGCTTCACCATTGTCATGCCCATCACCATCGTATTCAGGAGGTGCATTGCAGTCTGAGGTAGTCGCCATGGCTTCCCTTCTCCGCATGATTAGGATCGCTCTGGAGCTTTCCCTCGGTCCTCCCTGCTATAGTGCATAATCCAACGGTAGTACATTTCAGACACCTCTGCCGCTTCTTTCCTTCCAAGCACGAGTGCCAGTCAAATAAGCCTTGTATCGATGCTTCACAAGAACCTGCAGCCTAAAAGCGAAGGCGGAGCACGGGCCAGAACTTGCAAATCAGTACTAACCAATCCAAATTTTACCCTGGTTTGTCCAGGTACTGCTTGAAACTCTACATACCTTAATCACCCCATGTCCTCCATCATCGTCTCAAAGGTCTTCATCCGATATTTGCCGAAGCGGATGACGAAGTGCTTGCCGTGCGCTTCAAGAAGAGGCTGGCATATCTTTGTGATAGTAGCCTCGTCGTCCTCAGCTCTTGTCTCACAGGCTGTAACAACCTCCTATGGGGAAATGGCACGCCACTGCGAGTTCTAGGCCCGTACTTAGCATGCATGGCAGGAATGGCTATTAGAATGGCATCGCGTCTCGGACTTGCACTTGTGTTGTTTCTGGCCCTGTTTGCACCATGTTTCATATAATCGAAAGATATGGAAAGTTTGCACATTTTTTACAAAGGGACCTCCTGCGCCTCAAGGAGCTCTGGAACATTCTCCCGCAGCCAATCCTCAGCTCATGAAATCATTCAAGCATGTTGTCAACCCAAAACACGTCTCTTGATCAGCCTTTGAAAGAGTGGGCCTGTCAGAGCAGATCAAACGTGGCATCAAAGCCACTCGGGTACTAAGGCCATAATGGTTGCAGCGCCAAACTTAACCAGCCCCGCCCGCACCCGCACCCGCACCCGCACTCGCACCTGCACCGCACCCGCACCACCACCAACAACACCACCAGTCGGGGTCGACATCAAGCCAACAAGCCAAGCTGCGCAAAAAACAACAAAGGCAGTTGAGGCGATTCTTGCACAATCCTCGAGTACCCAGGCAGGACCAGAGAGTCACTGACATCAGTACTAGCACCTTCGGAAATGCTGACATAAAGCAGCGTAACCCGCGGCCAAAAGCAAAGAACACATTTCATTGAAGCCCAGTCTCTGAAGCATCTGCGAAGTAAGTACTGTACGCCTGGCGAATGCATCTGCAAGGAAACTCTGCCAACAACTGTGCTTCATTGGAGAAGGACAATCGACGCAGAAGCCCTCTGACTTACCAACCGCGGCCATCCGGTCCGCGAGCACCTAAAGGTTTGGCCATGCTTTCCATCAGTCCTGCGGCTGCATCATCACCCAGTGGCACCAGCCCGGATCCTTGAAACGGCGGCATGCAAGAGAGAGGGGGAATTGTGACATATAGTTATAGAGTCTGCAGTACTCGGGATATGCCCTCTCTATGCGTCCTCCGCAAGTAAGATCAAAGAAGTACGCGTGGAGTTGCATCCAAATCACGGCCAGCACCCGTGCTTTTGCAAAACTGGACAGGCCTGCTTAAATTTGCTGACGCCCCCTCACGCATGCTGGCGTGGTGCTGGCATTCGCATGAGTTGCCGGACCCCAACTACATACGCAAGAAGGTATATGTGCAAAACCACTTTGTGCCTGCCAGGCGCCTCAACAACTACCTGAGGAAGCGGAATTCCACGATGTGATCCCCGAAGGGCCACCAATGGCATCTCCTCTGGACAACAAGCGTGGTATTAGTTTGCATCAGCAACACGAGACGGCCTCCCCGTCACATTATGTGCGCTGCATCTTACTCATATGTTTGACTGGATGGTCGGTTCAAAGCAGGGCTGACGGCAAGCTGAGTTTGTCCTTGAGGTGCGGCGCATTCTTCAAGAGCCACGCCGCCTGCTCTTGCAACCCCTTGGTTGCCTCTTCCTTCTCCTCCTTGCAAGAGTAGGCAACGACAAGCCAACAAGTAGTTCACAACTCAACACTAAGGTTGCTCTTGCAGTTGCATGCTAGTGGGCTTGCTCAAGAAGGTCATAGAAGCTATGTGCCCACGGGCGATGGGCGATGGTCACGGGAGCCACCCACGTGGAACCAAAAGAGTTACATTAATTCGCATGTTTAAGGACAGCTCCCGTACTCTAAAGCACAGTTGGAGTGAAGGTCAAATCCTCTTTCTACTAGGCACTCCTGAAAACTCTTGTGCATCAAGCAGCACCAGCCATGCAATCATCCCTGTGCCTCCATGTTTAGCTTGGACCTAGCTTGGAGTCTGCTGGAGTTAGACTCGTGCAGCGGGCTGCAACATGATTCGCAGAAGCCTCCGCCACGCGGAGGATCCACTGGCAGTACGTTGGGTCTTCGGACACCAGCTCAGCGATTGGTCGCCCCTCATGCTGTGGACCTGCCAGAGGATGCTTCTGCTGGCTGAGAACAGGCATGCGCCGAGTCTGTACAAACAAATGACTAAATTATTGGCATGGCTCCGTGCTTTCTTGACACCACAGAAAGTGAGCCTCATCAAGCTGAAGCAAATCGTCCCATCTCGTGGGCAAGGCTGACAATGAAACGCACACGAAAACTGGAGACGACAGTCAGGCCTGTTGCAAATACGCCAGCATCCTTTCAGGGGCAACAAGCAGTCACTTCTCACTTTTACTGCTGTGAAGTTCATATCATCGGTTTTGCCAAGCCTCCGGGATTGTGCTGCTGACGCAGCTAAAGATGAACGTGACGTTCGCACGCACATGTACCATTAAAGCATCCGGAGCATGGCACCTAATCCGATAGCTTTGCGCATGACGTAGGTCTGACGTGAAGTGGCATTTGGATCAGACCACCCCTAAACTCTAAACCCCACACCCAGAGACAAGCACCCCTGACAAGGGCCTCTCAGAACATTGGGTTTTCTCCGTCCCAGCCTCAAACTCCCCATAAGATCCCCATACACGAACCCTCAAGCCCTAAACCGCGTAAACCAGGTCCGCCCCTTGGTAGTTCCATGCTTCAACCCGTAGCTGACTTTCGTGCCATTTGCTTCACGCTCCCTACTTGCCCAAGGGCCTTCACATGTGGTGCATATTTCGCCAGCCAGGTTGCCATTGCTCGCAGCTCGGGAGTAGCATGCTTCTCCTGTGGGCAGGTCACTGGGCATAAGTTGACTCGTAGCTCCTGGCCGCCCATCAAAGGGGATTTGGGGGACAACTTGGAGTTACGAGTAACTGCTGGTTCCCCTGGACCTCGAATTAATCTTGAGCTGACAAGAAGGAACCAACCCCCAGATCATGTTTTGTGTTGTTTACTGAGAGGTGGAGGGGTCGCAATACTAAACCAAGGCGTTGGGGTCGGACTAGGTAGCGAAGCTCGTAGCATTATTAGGGAATCCATTACAATCAGGATATTTTTGGGCGGACAGCATTATTATCACCCCTTGGTTATTGTCGCTGGAGCTTGGTTATATCCTTTCGGGCTCCGAACTTGTTAGAAAGCAAATGTAGTCTGCCGGGATTATTCTGGCTCAGCAACAATATACTATTGTCGGACGATGTATTCATGGTGACTCAACAATTAGATATTGAAGTTAAGTGCCACATCACTTCCTCTCCAGGAGAATCACCTGGCCCCAAGGACTTAAAGGCCGTGTTGTGGGCCACCCCGCACGGGTTGGGCAAAAAAAACATGGGATTCAGAGCTGGGGCTCTGATGCTACGGCTTTTCGGTGATGTGTCAAAGAAGCACAATATTAAATGCCAAAATACAGGGACGTGAAATGGTCGTGTTCAAAAGGCACAACAACGCGAGGTGTGGAAACATCATGTTGCAAGTGTCAAAGTGCTGAGGGGCTTTCATCCAACAATTAACTACTACGCAAAAGCCACCACATGATTAGATATGTCACAAAATCCATGACTTTAGGAGTAATCGCTTGCGTTTGCAGCACGGCCGTGGAGGTACAGCGAGCATTTGGAAGCTTCCTCAACTAGCCCAAACGGCCCGCAAGCAAAAAATGCTGCCATCATGCAAGATGGAACACGCAAAGCAGCCATTGATAAGCAACGCACCCCGAGATAGGTCTGGACCCCTGTCTTCAGTACACATTGGAAGATGACTTGAACCGCAATCTTGCCCATCAAAGCTGACTGAAGCGAAGGACCTGTGCTTCACGCAGAACCCACTGGCAGTAAGCTGGGTCATCAACCACGACTTCTGACAAAGGTCGGCCGCGGTGTTTTCTACCTGCCCCACGCTCAGGCGTGCTCCCGGCTATGGCAGGAAGAGGCTTTCAATCAACAGTCGCCAAGCTGCTCTCCAGATATAAGGCAACAGAAATCTCATACAGGAGTGCGACGTCCACAGTCAAGAGCAGCGGAGCAAAAGCAATCCACAAAAATGAGGAATTGAAAGCTGTGCAGAGTTCAGGCCAAGAAGCCTGCCTGCGGCAAACATGCCTTCTGCCTGGCAGCACAGACCGCGAGCTTAGCATTAATGCCACCATGACTCAAACAGCTGCTGAATGCTACTGTCAGATCCTGCTCACGCAGGCTCACAAAACCTGCGTCCCGAACACATGCATATTGGAAGACGGGACGTGAAGTCACCCATGCATGAATCTAAAGGCATGTTGAATTGGTCGTACACTCGCAAGTGGCCTTCAGATGCGGCGCATTCTCGGAAAGCCAGCTGGAGGCTTCGAGCAAGTGATTGGAGGCACGTGGTCCCTGCCAGCGCAGCAGTGCACAAATTGAAGGCCTGTTCCAGCATGTTTTGTCTCAGAACTCTAGCAGGATCAGTGGCATCTTCAACCCACTTCCCTATCTTCCCTTTGGAGAGCCTGGGCTTCACGAAGAATCCACTGGCAAAACACCGGATCATTGGCTGCCATTTGAGAAAGGTTCTTTCCATGAAACGTCGGCGCACAGCCTTCAGGGGAATCTGAGCAAGCGAGACTCTCAGGGCCAAAGTGCCGAGGACAATGCCTGACAAGTCATCTCCATCTGCGCCTGTGGACGACGCCTTTCTTTCCATGTGAGAAGTACACCGAGAATCCTGACACTGGATACAATCAGCCAACAGGAAACACCGTGTAAGCTACCCTCAGCTGGCCCAGGCCCGTCCTTCGCTTGCAGACTCGTGCCATCTGTCTGACGCGTCGTCAGCTGCGGCGCGTGCTGCCGGAGCCAGGCAGCATGCTCATGCAGTGTCGCAGAAGCATGTCCCTCCTCTCAAGAAAGACGGTGGCAGGCAGCCATGAGAGCAACCGACCAACAAGAGGACAAAGAGTATCCAAATGGCCAAGCACAGCATGACCTCTATCTATGTTGAAAAGACCCGGGCTGTTAAGCTGGAGCTGCGAACGGCGAATGCAGCATAGAGTTTGATTTAAGCTGACCTCCCGACACTTTCCAACTATAACGCATGAAATCCTGCGTGATTCCAAGACTTGCCTCACCTCCGCAATTCCACAAAATGCGTCCTTCGCCCTCTTGATCACCCATTGGCAATAGCTGGGGTCTTCTGCCACAACTTGGTGCAAAGGCCTGCCGTAGTGCTTGCGACCTGGGCTTGCGCATCAGAAAAGCAGCAACGGCTGAGGCTACACGCCCAAAGATATCTTCAGGAGGCGCTCCTCTACTCAGGCAAGTCTCCGAAGCGCCACTCCATGCCCTCACTATCTGCAACGGCATGCGGCGCTGCCAAAGACACGTTTCGTCTGAAAAGCCTTCGGCAAGAGTAAAGCAGCTTCCGTGTGGCACATCCCCATGTGCTATGATGAACCCACAAAACCATGAGCCCAGCAAAGACATGCAAACAAAACCAACACACGGCACCAACCAGCCCGAAGCTTCCTGAGTCGCATCTGCCTCTTCAAGCACCTGCTGTCCGGCGCCACCGCTGGGCGCAGCTTCAGGATGGAGATCCTCCAGTTCGTGCCCAACAGGGATATAGGCACCGAGTAGGTTGGCAATTGCTGCCGCAAAATTCTGACAATGTTACTGCCGCAACTGAGGCTCCTCATTGTTGGCCGGTTATGCCAGTGCTCGCATGGCAAGACATTCAAAGCAAACGCTGGCAGCAGGGAATGCGTGAAAGAGCCAAGACGACAGGCAGGAAGCGACAGGCAAAGCAGTCAAGAAGTCATAGCGATTCAGTTGAGCTAGGAACGCACTTATGTGTCGGGCCTGAAGTACGTGTTTCAAGAAGGAAGACCGAACACCAATGGTGCCAGCACAGCCGGCAGGGCGAGAGCGGGTCAGGTCACCAGCTTGCAACGAGCAGGTTGCTAGAAGACATCTATGGCCCAAGGGAAGTCTGGACATGACCCTAGCACTTCACACTTCACACCAGGGATGTTGTGCCAAGAATGTGCGCGCGCTACAAGTCAATTTGCCTTTACATGCCACAGCATTTAGATCTTGGAGGAGTGCTGCAAAGAAGCTGCATGGGTTTGATTTCAGCACGTGCTGGGTTCCTGACTTACTTGCCGCACGCCAGAGGATCACATCGGGTCGGAGACAGTGCCGAGATTTTGATGCTCGCCTGAGCGGCTATGACAATCAAGGTGCAGACCGGCGTGCGTATCCTACTATGCGCCTGGTCCTCCGTCAGTTCCGAAGGATTTGGAATGCACGAACTTCAGCAATGTTCGCAAAGTAAAATCACACCATCACAGCATGGGCTAGTGTTGACATTCAATCTCACGTGGAGGTTGTACCGCATACTCAGAAACTTGGGCTTGTTGGTATGGATGCAAATCAGTCCAACCCTTCATGTTGACTCCACGCCGTCAAACAACGAGCCTGCGCCTCTGTGTCTGCGTCTGCCAGGCAATGTTTCACCAACCTGCTGCATACAACGTGCACTTCACTACCGCAGTGGCCTAAATGTTTTAGGGGTTTAACTTCAGTTTAACTTTAAAAGAAAGAAGAGTTGCATGGAGGCAGCAAATGGACCATTTCAGGTATATTGGGTCTGTATTGGCAAAAGGCACAAGCCCTCGAAGGTTGCCCTCCCACCGGAGACTCCTTCCTTGTGCGCACTTGGCAGCCGCGGTGAAATGCCTACTCAAAGCTGTTCAGGTCAGGTAGATGCATGCCAGGAAGAGTCTAGGCAAAAACCAGCACATCGCATGAAACCAGGACAAACCCTAAACCCAAACTCCACACCCTAAACCCTAATCCTGGGGCTGTAAACTCCAGAAGGACCTCAGGCCAACCATGCTAAGATTCCCTGATGGATGCAGTGACACTATTCTTGAAGATGTTTTTGTCCCACTGAAGCAAGGCAAAACGCTTGCTTACCTGGTGCTTAGCAGGGGAAGAGGGGGTGAATCCCTTTGCTTTGCAATCCCTTATAGCTTATAACTGTTCTTCAAATCCCTTCGCCCAGTCTTGTCAGCACCACAAAACTGTTTTGCAGCACTTGCTCAGTCCCCGACCGTCCTATTCAACATCTCTCACCCGCTTCTTGCCTGGCTCTATCTTAACGAGGATATGATACGGCCTGTTACCCTGATGGCTAGGGAATGGAGGAGTGCAAAGAACATTGGAATAGTTGTATCAATTAGTGCTTCGGGTTTAGGATGGGTAGAAGGAATGCTGTAATGGGGTAGGGGGACTGTTTTGGTGGACCATACAGTAAGCAGTGTGAGCCTTATGGCCGTCAATCTCTGAGCCTTTCTGTGGAAATCTGGTTGTGCGCCCTTTGCAGGCATCAAGCAATGAAGCAGCATGATACACTCAAAATCTCATATGAGAGTGCTTAAGCCCATGTGCAAATCAACCTGGATGGGCGGCGAAGCGGGGCCTGATGACATTGAGGGTGCGGGCGCGCAGGGCTGGGTATGTTCGAGGCCTTGAAGCTTTCAGCCTGCTATACGTCTGCATCTTTTCAATCTGCCCAGAAAGGGTTGCAGCTGACTCTTCGATGTATATAATGTAAATACTTCTATACCTGAGGCAAAGTCGGAACGCTGCACCGAAACGTTCTGCCATCCCACATGCAAACCGTTGGGTGAGTATATGTTGGCTAACTGGCTGCCAACATTACTGAGCAACCTAGTTTCCAATCACGAATTGCTGACCAGATGCGAGAAGCCTTGTAAGACTTCTTCACTGTTAGGAATATTACCAGATAGCCGTGAAGCAAACACCTTTACGGACCAAGTCTAGAATAAATCCTTGCCGTACCTGTACGGCTTTTCACAACGCCCATTCAAAAAGGGACGCGCAAAACACACAAAACTCTCAGATCGCAGACTCACAGGTTTCGTTTTGTGCAAAGTACCTAGCCGATGACCGAACATACCAAGCCACTGGCTCAGAACCATACCCTAAGCTGGGTCCAAGCTTTAGGGCTTTACAGCTGTAAGCCCTCTCCCGGGCGCGAGGTCCCGACCTGCTTTTGCCAAAAGATCCACCTCGGTGAGGGTATTGTAGCTTATCCGTTTTCGCAAAAAATTCTGCTCCAACCGCAGGAAGCCTCTTGCTCACCGAGTCTACAGATAGGTCCAAGACAAGCGCACATGGCGTTACAGCGGACGTCCTGCCCGTTTCACATGTGCCTATGAATTGAACGCCTGCATCCAGAAAAGTGACAGAAACGAGCTTCTCAGATATTCAGGAAGATGCGCCAATTTAACAGCTACCACTAAACAATGCAAACTGGGTATGCCACGGCTATTTCTTGGAGCCCTGTGCTTTCTAAAGCTACCGACCCATCATCAAGAGGTTATAAAGGTGAGACCAACCATTAGGTCAAACCCCATCATTTCGGCTGGCCTTTCGCATGACAAGTTACATAATGGGTTATAAGCTAATTTTCATTTTGGGTCCCGCTTTTGGGTCCGACTGTGAAAACTATCCTCATTGCAGACAAAGCACGCGTCACTGTAGACTGACCACAAACATGACAACCTGAATCACACCCAAATGTACGCAGACCAGCCTGCCAAAATGAAATCGTGAAACGTTCAGCGACTCAACTTCTGAAGCCCCTTCCCAAGCTCCCACTAGCGCGGCTATGGGGGTTGTAACCCTGAAGCCCTTTTAGGCTCAAGCTTCTACTAGCATGGATAAGAGTTGTGGTATGCAGTACAGTATTAAAGCAAGACAACTGAGGCCATCGCCTTCACTACTCCAAATTCATGCGAAACCAAATTTACCTTCTCTTGGCTCCGCGCTACTGGCGCGCAGCAATTTGCAGCCGCAACATCGTGCGGGGTGAGCCCTTGCAACAGGGAGAGCAAGCTGCTCCATAAGATGACAAGGCACCAAAGCTCCGCACATGCTTCCCATCCTACCAGCAGCAGTGGAATCTAGCTGACTGTTGGGGATTGAAATCCAAGCTGGAGGAGAGATTTGCTCGTGTTTTCAGACCTGGCTGTCATCCTGGTCATCATATTTGCGCACCCAAGGTTGTAGTATGAAGACTCCATCCGGCTGTTCTGCACTACCCTCACCCTATTTTGCTTATACAGTATACACCTATTGATCTCCCCATTCTGCCACAAACACAGTAGACGCACATCCCCTTACAGCTAGTCTAGTAGCCGCATATGACAGTTTGCTTTGTGCCTGGTGGTCGACAACATAAAGCACAAGCATCCGAACCGCATGAAAGAGCTCGCCATTGTGTGCTAGACTTTCGGTATGGTCGCTCTGGCAGAGAGCGTGACACAACTGACCATAAACATGTTCCCAACCCTTCTCCCAAACATTGTTGCAAGAAGCAGCATACTCCTGTGGAACCAGTTAGGAAGCCTTACCTGCCTTACTCCGAGCAAACTGAAAATCCTAGCGAAAGACTTGTTGCACTTTGCGAGTTGCTCGTATCCAAGCCTTCTCCATCGACAGGCCTGCAGAACAAACTTGCAGCTTGTTAGCAATGAAGGAGCAGACAAGAAAGTGGAACTAAGATACCGCCGAAGACTAACTAGGGGCTACTATGGGGATCCATTCCACAATTCCTTACTTACAACCCGAAAGCAGAAGAGTGATAGTGGGTCATGCCGCTGCGCAGAGATCACGCCAGTTTGTGAAGCTGCTCCTGTCAAGAAACAGGATAGTGCTAACAATTTCTTTGCAAAGAAAAAAGGCACGAAAAATGCAAAAGCCCTCAAGCAGCAAGCCGCCCAAAATAGGACATCCCGGAGAGGCAACAGCAGAGCACGTTGCATGACATGGCCTGATGCGGAAAAAGGGGCCCAGTATCTACCCAGACCCTCCTATGTAGTTTCTTTTTGGGTGGTATACTATAAACCCTTACCAAAACCTCATAACAGACACCCAAAAAAAACTACATGGGTAGACTCTTCATGGCCTTCACCGCAAAGCCTGCCTCACCAAACCCTGCCTTGCTGAAAAGGCAGGGAGCACCCTGCTCGTACATGGTTAGGCAGCTTCCACTTGCTGGTTGTTGGTAGGGGATGAAGGAATGAAAACGAAGATTGACATCCAGTCATTTTTTTGGTGTGGGGTGGCTACTATAGAAAGCCACTATACTCCTTTCCCTTCTTACAACCAAGTATTTAAGTCAAAAGAAACCAGAGGCAGAGCACCGACGACCCTTGGGCCTGAGCCTGGCGCCGGCAGCCAGTAAGATCTCAACCTCGGAGTTGTTGTGACAACATGCGACAACCCTTTACAAAAGAGCGTGGGAATAACAGCATTGTTGCGATAACAACTGGTTTTGGCTATTATGAGGCTGAGTTAAGATAGCTCACAATGAATCATACATAGGGCGTGATTTGGGTCTCTTTGCTGAGGCTTTCAGCCTACAACTACCCAAGTCAAATCCAGTGGAGATGACGGGCCCTTGGCACATGATGGGGCTGAACAAGCCAAGTTGAACTAGAAGGGCTTCGGAGACGTAGCACGTGCCATTCTTAGCCACCCAATCTTTTCTGTATAGTCGCAACATGAGTGAGTGAGTGGACTGTTTGCTGACTCCCAGGATCATCGGCTCCATCCCCACGAGCCTTGGGAAATCGCGAAACACCCTGCCCACAGCTAAGCAAGCAATCAAGCACGGTCTGTGAAGCCGCGTGCTTCCTCCATACACCGTGACATGCACACTAAAGCATCCGAGCTAGGAAGAATTGGGAAGAATTGGAATGGCCAGGCTCGGTTCAAGCCGCAAAAATGAAGCAGAAAGAACCCTTAAAGCTTTAAATCAGGCCTAGCCATAGCATGCCAGGCTCCCAACTGCACCCAGCGAGCCAACAGCAGCTGCACGATGTAGCGTTGTGCTGCCTTTTGAAATGCATTAATTGATTTGAGTCTGGCTGCAAATCCATCACTGACAAGGCAGGGGTGAACAGAGAGAGCGAGAGAGAAGAAGATCGGTTGAAACGTGAAACGTCAAGGGCGCACTCTGCAGTCCCAAAATACCCTTAGATTTTGCGAGCTGTGTGTTTGCTTTCTCCGATTGTCTCGTTTCATTACTGGGAATCGGAAAGGGCTGAGAGACAAATCTCCACTTTGCTCGCACCAAAGACTAGTCCTGTGCCGGTTTTGCTCTGCCGCGCCCTCAAACCGCAGGAAGGCGGAGCACAGAGAGCATTACAGTGTTATGGGCGACGCAATATGATCAAGACCAAATTCGCCTGCTTACTGTTGGTTCAGCTCTTGGCTCAGTTAGGGGCGATTCCAAGCTACAGGCATTCGAGGAATTTGACTGCAGTTCTGAAGGACAGCTCACCACCAAAGCCTGCTGCGTCGGAAGCATTCACATCCTCAGCCAACATGGCAAAACCGTGTCCTAGAAACATGGAAACACTACGACATGGTACCCGCCCACATGAACAAATGCATGTCTCGCATTAGTGTTCTGACAAAGCCTCGCACCTTATGAAGAGAGCTCGCTGTGTGGTTCTTGCATGTCCTTGGGGCCAATGCTTTGCTGTCCTGTTCCGCCGATTGTCGTAGGATCGCATTTGGAGCAGGCTACGTTTACAGCCCCGCCATGAAAGAGTGCCAACTTCGGTCGCCTGTTGGCACCTCAGTGATGCGTGTACAGTTACGTCTGGGAAGCCCTCTTGGCAGCAGACGGCCGCACCGTTGAGAAGGAGCTGCAGCCTACAAGAAATCCATGCAGCAAATTCTCGAAACCAGTGGGCATGTGTCCAAGTCATCATATTTCGGTGGATATACAACCCTTGTTTTGCACGGAAGAATCTACGGCGGCACTCACAAAACATACCGAGAGGTATTGCAACTAGCTTCGGTGGCTTTGTCTCCAAAATTTAAGTGCTTTGATCGTGTTCTACAAACATCCTGGGCGCCAACTTTGATGGCGATTTTTTCAGGCTTCTCCTGAACCTGGCATGGTTCACATCCTGGAGTCCTTGTATAGGATTATCGAAGCTCAAACCAGAGAGACCGAACATCAAAAGGATAAACCTGAGCTTAACAACTGAAATGCCCAGAAGGCCTACAAGCCTCAAACACTAGG